AACAAAAAAAAAACAAAGGGGGGGGGGGGGGGGGGTGGACGGAATGTGAAGAGATTCCTTCTGATCGAACTTTCTCAAGTTACACGCCACGCTGGTTTATTTATTTGTTTATTCAATTTAGTTTATTGTACTTCCAACAGTTATTTCTTTCCACTCAGAAAACCTCGCTCCAAGTGGCGATGAAATGTATTCCTCAGTCTTCTATTGAGCACAGCTTGTGCTTGCTTCCACGTCCTCAACATTACAGCTCTGCTTGACGCTTACTTTTGCAAGATATTCAGAAGTCTCACACAACACCTACACACGCACCCGCAATTTCCACCACTTTCAGTCTTTCGAACTGACAGGCACACTTCAGTATCAACAACTGTTGCAGAATTCTCTTTTTCGGTTTCCCTTTGTCGATACGAACGTTCTCCTCTTTCAAAATGATAACAAATGCAGCTTGAGTTCCATGTTCTAGACTTAACTCGAATGCGTCAAGCTATCAAGCAGCTGTATGCATATGGCTTACGTGAAGCCTCTGACTTCTGTGGAATACTCAAACAACTTTTGAGCTTGAGGCGGGTAGAATAACGGGATATAAAAATATTTGAAAAGGACAAGTTCATGAAAAAGGAGAACCCATTTCTTCTGCAGTGCATATGACCATGGGTCGGAGACTGGACCTATCCAGGTGATTTCATGGAAACATTAATAATTATGGTCATAGTAATACATCCGCCGTACACGATATGAAAGTCAAGGACTATACTTCATAATGGGCCCCGGCTCGAACCGATAGGCGCTTTCCGTACAGCATACTCTCTATCCCTTGTTTATGGGATTGTTTACAGTGCTGAGATCAACAATAGCAATAGCAATAGTCACATTCATGTAAATACTTGCTTATTTATGCTAGTAAAAAGACGCTATCATTTTAGAGTCTATAGAATAAATGAAACCTATCCTGATAATGATGATAGATTGCTTACAGGATGAGGCTTTAGAGAAGAACCTCAGAGGAGACCAAAAATGAAAAAAAAACGGATAAAAATTCCAAATTCCAAAGAGAGGAATCATGAAATAAATCACGCTGTCAAGCAAAAAGTATTATTAATTATGAAGTAAAAATATGGAATAAATTTTGAAGCGGCAACTCTCAGTATATTCTAAGTTGACAGATCGTAGGTCAAAGATCAAATCACCCAGAAGATCTGCGAAAGCGCAATGAAGCCGTTAAATCCCTCCCAGTCCACTTGCTATCGATTTTCGAAATCCTCCTAAACCTGCTAGCTAGGTAATTGTTTACTTGTTTATTTGATTGTTTATTTATTCGAAGCCCCCATAGGTTATCCTTACGGGTACAACCAACTACCAAATGCTCTAAAAAAGTTGAACCAATTCCAATGAAAGGCCGTGAGCGCTCAACAAGTTAAAGACCTACGGTGAATGGATGTTTACGGTGCATCTTCAAAGGTAATTATTTGATGTTCTACCCTTGCTTTTCTGATTTACTCTTCTTATAAAAATTACTTTCAAAAATGGCATTTGGCAAATTGCTGAGACTTAAAGGAGGTAACAGGTATAGAAGGAAAAGGGAAGGAAAAAGTCTATGACCTAACAAAAACCGGTCAAAAGTCACAACTTGAGTCGGTAAACACTTCATTTCCTCCGGTTCCTTTGACTCCCACCCTCTACCACTTTTTTTTGAACCAACGGGTTGATTT